GAAGGAGGGCTGCTGCCCGGGCGGAGGCGGCCCGAGGCCTCCCGGCGGCGGCGGCCCGGGCGGATAACCCCCCGGAGCCGGAGGGAACGCGCCCGGCGGAACGTTGGGGCCTCCAAAGGTGCCTGCCATGTTGGAAGCCTGCAAGGACAAGCAGTAAAGCAAACGACAGTGAAGGATGAAAGGGGCTGAGTTTCAGTAACAGGCTTCACACAGTACATGCACTTAAAAACAAAACACACGCGCCACAGATACGTTGCTCTGCAGCTGCAAAATCACTTTGCAATACAAAGATTTTGCCAGCAAGAAAGGCCCCAAAGACTATATTCGGTTGACTCTTGCTTTACTATAATGTGTCACGTATCAAGAGGTACAACCACAGCCACATACAGAACCACTGCATCCAGCACCATCCTCAACTCACCCAGAGTCACCCACAGCCACATGCCTCCTGTCCTAAAAGAGGTCGCCCCAATTAATCTTAGCACTACAAAACTGTGCTCATTCCTCCTCTGTCCATGGCTGCCTAACACCGATCGCAGCATCATCTGAACACAGGGAATTACTCTGAGCAGCTCCTGCTTGTTCTGTATAGGAGACGCAAGCATTAACGATTCAACAACAGCAGGAGTCCTTGGACTGTATTTGGAAAGGCATCTGCAGAAAACACAAGGCAGATATTCCATTCCATGTGCAGTAGCATCCTTCCACAATTTTTGTACTCTGATCCCCTCCTACAGAAGATCCAGAAGAACTAACATTTGATGACTGCAGTGCTCTTACAAAATAGTTGCTGTGAGTATTTTTACAGGCATCCTAGGTAAATCATCGCTCATTTTGACTGCTGTCTGCCAAATCTCCGCTCTTCATAAATCCTTAGAAAGAGACCTGTGATGCTGGGGTCTCTTTATAGACTATATATTCTTTACATAATAGATTCCTAGAGACTGAATTGTTACAAATGGCACTCGCTTCTACTCTTAAGCAAAAAAGCCAACAAACAAACAATCACACTGGATATCTAACAACAAAAAAGGTTTTAACCTCCATCTGTTAAACATTAGTGGCTATAAAAGACAGCCTACTTATGCCCTTCTTTTTTTTTTTTTTAAGGTTATGAATCATCTTTATATTGACCTCACAGCCTGGTTCCTTATTCAGACTGGTGAAAAGCCAGCTAGGAAGCAAAACAAGGAATACTTTCACCAATATGAATACTTTAATAAAGAATATTCAGTATTCATTCTCTATTCCTCCACACAGCTAAAGCAAAATTATGCTACTTCTATATCCATAGCTTTTGAAGCCAGGTTCTTTTCAGGAAAAAAAAAAAGGTTTGCTTGCCTAAAATAAGAAGGAGTTGTGGTGCCTATTTTATTCAATAGATGACATGGAATTCTCAGCACTGGACACAAAGGCCTGGCTTTACACAGCGATTTCTCTTTTTCCCAAGTCTGACCATTGCTATGCATGATGCTAACTATATCTGCAATAAACTACTGTGCTGCAGTGACAGAAACACCCCCTTAAGGGGAGCCAGTGAAGTACATTAGACACAACTGCACTCACCATGCTGGCCATGTAGCCCGGGTTCAGCTGGTTGGCGTAGCCAGCCACGTTCTCCAGGCCGATCGGCGGGAGGTTTGAGGGTGGATATGCAGCACCGGGCCAAGGACTGCCCCCTGAAACCAAAACCAGGGGTATGGGGACAAGAAATTACAATTTTAAGTCTACTTCTTCCTACTTACATTTCTAACATAAGGTCTGTTAAATATTGGCGATTTAGGTGGAGGAAAATTAAAAAGGAGCATTGCTGAGCAATGGTGATCATAAAGCGAGGCCTCATTGGATATTCCCAATCTTGGCATCTATCAGCAAATCTACATATGTATTTTAATAACTCTAAACATATTTGAAGAAGATTCACAAATTAATACTGTAAATACCATATTTTCATCAGAGAAAGTTTGCCTTAAACCCCATAATGACCAAAATAACAACAATCTCCCAGTTTTAAGTGCTTGAGATGGACAGACCTTACATAGACACAGGGTGGAGAACCCATCTTATATAAACCAGGCCTCCAAGAATGCCTGGCCAAGATAAAACGGGACTTAAGAGAACACAGAAGGCTTCAATGAGTCAAGGAGAGCCTCCAGAGTCCTGCTCATTCATTCCACCTTGCCGTTCCCGCAAGACCATCACTGCAATTTAACGTTCACCTCATCCGAAGAGCTTACCTGGCGGTGGTGGTGGGTATCCACCCGCTGGGGGGTAACCGGGGTAACTCATTGCAAAGATCTGAAAAAGATGTGAGAAACTGTTTTCTGCACTGCTTCACTAACGGTATCACATAAAATTAACGGGGAACATTTTTGCAGTAGCCTCTCAGCAAGTTTCAGACATCTGTGCCCAACAAACTACACCAATTCTAGAGGCTTTTGCCTGGAAGAAATCCTCTTCCCGTTTCCTTTTGCTGGATTGATAAACATATCTAAATTGACTGACTGATTCATCAGGCTAGTCCTTTCTTATTCATTTTGCTTACTAGTTACCACTCACTTTGTCTATTACACTGGTAAGGATGCATCCCTAGAACACTTTTTATGGTTCTGTTAAAGTATCAACCACTTTGCAATCCACACAGAACAGCCAGTCTTATTAACACAGAGTAGAAAATCAGCTGAAAAACAAGTCACGCCTTCAAATGAGTCATTTTATGAGAAGTGCTGCTGACATTTAAATGCAGATGTCTGCACAACTGCAAGGTCAGAGAAGAAGCTACCAGGATATATTTCATGCTTACAGTATTGCTGTAAAATGCAAAGGGTTTGCAGAGAGGTAAGAGCACTAGAACAAGCTGTCTCACTTAAAGCTGACAGGGCATCTGTCAGCACAGAAGTGCATAGTAATTTGCTGTCCAAAGTAAGAGTGGAGTTTCAAGTGGGCAGGGCAGCTATACACGCACCACGCTAAAGTGATTTTTCAGACTGTAGAAAGGTTTATTTTAATCGGAACAACTATGAGGAGGCAATGTATAAGTAACCCAAGGAGCCTGCTCCAAATTAAGAAAACGTCCAATGAATTCAACTTTTTCAAGGTTATTTTTAGCAACAATCCCCAGTCTATTTTCAAAACCACTGCCAAACACTACCCTGTTCTGTTCCCTGAAATGACGACTGTGCTGGCAACACAGACTGCTAACCCGGAGCGGGTCTGGCTCTCACTACACTGCTTACACTGTCACCTACTAGGAAAGCCGGGAGACTCTGTAAAGTTTTACTGGGGGCAAGAAACAGCAAACCACTCCAGATAATTGTTTACAGGTGACATTTACAGTGATCTACACTACAATACTCCATGCTACTTGATTTGTTTAAATATAACAGCTGCCCACATTCCTGTCTTGTTTTTGAAAAAACAAGTAAACAAACAAAAAACAGGGCAAAACCAAACAGCATAACTACAGTGAAGACCTACACTTCCTCATAACACTGCTTACAAAATATTTTTATCCCGAGTGTTATCCCAATGGAATAACAATTTCTGAAGGCAATGCCAGTTGTTACTGATATATATTACATACACACTTATATATGAACTTATAAAGTGAAGACCCCAAATCACGAGGCCTAGAAGCAACATGATATTTCACATTTCTGATTAAAGCTGAAGGCAAAACGCCCGTTCTCCTCCTCTCCTGGAGGAAGCAGGGGCAGCTTCCTTCTCTCCCTCCTCCTGCAGCTCCACATGCTCCAGAAGGCCGCCCTGGGCGAGCCCCGGGGCGGCAGGGACAGCGACAGGGACAGCTCCTCCTCCCTGCACTGTGCACAGTGCAATCTGCAGGCCACGGATGACATGGCTGCATTGCCAGCATGTCCTGCTCTTCGAGCTTTCACCCCGTTCCTTTCAAAATTAAGGCAAAACCTCTTTGAGATATTTGGGGTGGGGGGAGCAGGGAGGAGTGGGATGGGAGTTCTTGTTCTTAAGGAGTTTCTTCGCTTTTAAACCCATTTGGAACATTCCCTTCTGATTCCAGAGAAATTAGAGGAACCTTTAGCAATTAAAACTGAGATCGCTAATGAAGTTAGGCATTATTCCTCAATCCAAAAAAAAAAAAAATCACTATATATAAAAATGTTCTACTCTTCTTCTGAATACTATAGTTGTCCAAGTGTTTTCAAGTGACTCCAGGGACACTAGATCCACAAGAACACTAACCTGCCACCTTCAAAACCCCATGATCACCACCGTTTCTGTACCCCAGCAAGTCTCTGTGGGCCTTTTCCCCACCTTACTAAATGCTTAGCTCTAGGTGAACTTGCCCAGCTATTCCCACAGCTTGTGCACCACCAGCCCTGACTCGCCTTCGGAACACCCCAGGGAAAGCGGGGCGAGGAGGGACGCGGCCTGCTGACAACCCGGCGCTGACGCAGGCCGGGAAGCGAGACTCAGAGGTCCTGCCTGTTACACAAACACCGAGTGTGGGAGGACACCGAACAGCAAGGTCTTTGTTTGCTCAGCCACTGAAGTGGAAATGCATGGGAGGAGAGGAGGAAAAAAAGGGCAGAAAGAGGGAGTGCCTTGAAAAAAAATCTACAGAAAATACGCTCAAAGCTCCCCTCCCCTTCTCTCAAGAGTGACTCTCAAGAGTGTTAACTCTTGAAATGGACCTCGAAGCTCTGAATAACCACCCGAGGTTTTACCACCGCAGTGGATGTCGCCGCCTGTCTTCGTGTTGCACAAGGGGACCCCTAAGGCACTCCAGCACTTTCTGCTTTGCAAAGGTAGGAGATCTGTTCATAACGGATCAAGCTGCAACGTACTTTCAATAGAAAAAGGACAGAATCTTGAAAATACATTGTGCAAGGCACAGCAGAACAGGA